GCCAGTGAGCTCTGGTTTCCCACCATCAACTGCTGTTATTAGTAAACGATGATTAGGAGTGTCTTCTCGATTTAGAAGTCTTTTCAACACGAGTCCAAGGGATTTGGTTTCCTCATCTCTTTTTTTAACGTCTAAAGTAAAATATTCTGTGGAGTCAAGACTGTAAGTCAACAACGAGTTTGTTCCGATATCTGCATCTGAGGCGCCCTCTAGCGAAAACCGAGAGCCAGGTTGTCGGGATTCGTAAATAAACAGATCTTTTACTGCCATTGGAAAAACTGGAGGGTTGTCGTTAATGTCCCTCACCTCCACCTCCACGTGGAAAACCTGCAGCGGCCGCTCCACGATCACCTCCAGGTGGATGCTGCACTCCAGGCTCCGCCCGCACAGCTCCTCGCGGTCGATCCGAGAATTCACAAACAAAATGCCGTTCTGCAGATTCACCTCCAGAAGGTCCCCGCGGCCCTTGGACGCCACCCGGAACAGGCGCGGCACCAGCTGGGCCAGCTCCAGCCCCAGGTCCTGCGCGATGCGGCCCACGAAGGTGCCGTGCTTGGCCTCCTCCGGGACCGAGTAGCGGAGCTGGCCGCTCCCCGCCTCCCAGGCTGCGACGAGCAGTAGAGAGAACAGCAGGCGCTGGGCTCCAGGATCTTCCATCCAGGAAAACACCATTGCAAGCCTTTTCAAGATATTGGGTCACTTTTACATCGATTCAATTTTTTAATAGTAATTCGGGCTCCTCATTCTTCACTTCTGAAACTGCTCGCCGTTACCATATTTCAGGAATGGTGAAGAAAAGCAGCATCTGAATACGTCATACACGCTGTTTTTCTTTTGTGGAGAAAGACCTTGCGGTGGACAGCGACATCATGTGGCTAAATTTGTAAGTATACACACGTAAATCTTTTTCTTGTATGTTGTTGAACTTTCCAAAATATCAATTTTCAGTTGTAATTTCTTTCAACCACTCCTCCAAGTTTTTATATTTTATCAAAATATTTCCCCAGAACTTTTATTCTAATCCGTAAATTTCAATTGTGCCAATTTATGACATACAGTTATATATTATTTTGTGGTTAGGGTTTTAAAAGTGGATATCTATTAGAAATGTTTCCCATGTGACAGGCACTTTTCTCACAGCAACCCTCTGAAACTGCTATCACTATGGTTCACTTTTTACAAATATAGAGATTAAGAAACATGAAAATTATATGAACTGATGGTATTTAAATGGGATTCTCAATCTGATTCAAGATGCCCTACCTTTAATCACTTAGCTTCTCAGGTTATATTTTAGAGAAAAGTCAGAGACCTTGAGATTAATGACCATCCAAACATCAAGATATTGAAGTATTTGTAAAATATGTGTGTGTAATTATACATATTTACTTTTATATTACTAGCAAATCAAAAGTATATTTTCTTTTATATTATTATGGCAATTTTCAAATTGAAAAATATATTCCCTTACATTTGTTAATTTGTAGAAGCCTATAAATCATTCTTCTGTCCTTTACTTAAGAACTATATTTTTGTCAATTGTCTTCACTTTTATTTATATTTTATATAAGGATGTCAGAAGTCAGCCTTTTACAGAGAAGTTCTTTCATAAATTTGTATCCTGTTGTAGGACAATAATACGTGATTTGTATGTTTGCTACATTCACAACAAATCAAGTAAGAATATATTAGTTTCTTTAAAAATTCACACCATTTGTGCATTTTATTTTACCTGTATATTCTACAATATTCACAACATAAGATAATTGTGCCTTTAATGATCTCCATCCTGAATGAATTTCTAGATTCCAGTTTCTTAAATTACCTTGAAAGATGTGGTAGTTTAACCAATGAGGAGAGAAAAGTAACTTTGGAACATGAATCAATACTAAACATATGTAAGACTAAGCAATAGGCCAGGCGTGGTAGCTAAAAAAAAAAGCTACAAAGTATTCTAAAGATCTCTGTGAATTCAGTGGGAGGCATGAGTTCTCTGAACATTTGGAAGTTGGCAGAGAAAATTCATGGGAAGCGATTGAATTTAGGGAGATAAAAGAATGGCTAAATTTTTGCATATAGCCAGACCATTTTTAAATGAAATCAAATACATGACTTAAGTATGAAAAAATTCACACCAGTTTTTATATCCTTATGTACTCATTGAATGGAAACTAGGATTGCTTTTTACTCATAGTTTGTCATCCACATTTAGAATAAATTATCAATTAGTATCTTAGTGGATATTTTCAATTAACTTTTCAAGTAAGATAAGTAAAGAGGTAAGTTATATTAATAATATTTGTTAATATCAAACTTACATAATTTAGAAGTGATTCTATTGTGTTAGTTCATGAAGAAGTAAGTAAACATTTAAAAATGTATTCTTCGGTTGGACACTGTGGCTCATGCCTGTAATCCCAGCACTTTGGGAAGCAAGAGGATTGCCAAAGCCCGCGGGTTGGAGACCAGACTGGGCAGCACGGCGAGACCACATCTCTACAACAAATCAAAAAATTAGCTGGGCATGGCAGCGTGTGCCTCTAGTTCCAGCTGCTTGTAAGGCTGAGGCAGAATGATTTGCTGAACCCAGCAGGTCGAGGCTGGGCAATGGCTGTGAGGAGTGTGCCACTGCACTCCAGTCTGGGCAACAGAGTGATACTCCAATTCAGAAAAAAATGTATTCTTCAAAGGCATGAATCTAAGAAATAATTATAGATATTAATATGCCAGTGCTGTGATGAATCTTGAAAGGTATTAGATACTTTGAAAATAAGAAACAGGCCAGACATGGTGACTTACTCCTGTAATCGCAGCACTTTGAGAGGCTGAGACGGGAGGATTGCTTGAGCCCAGGAGTTTAAGATCAGCCTGGGCAACATAGCAAGTCCTCATCGCAACAAAAAAATTAAAAAGTAGCTGGCTGTGTTGGCATGCACCTGTAGTCTCAGCTACTGCCTGAGCCCAGGAGATTGAGGCTGTGGTGAGCTGTGATTGTGCCACTGCACTCCAGCCCAGGCAACAGAGTGAGACACTGTCTACACACAAAAAAAAAAAGAAAGAAAAGAAAAATAAGAGACAAAATTTAAAAATTAAAACATCACTGACTTCATATTAATGAAATGCCTTTGATGACATTCTAATTCTACACATTTCATTACATTTGAGAGTTATACTAATTGCAAAATGGAAGCCATGTGGGAATTTATATCAGAGTAGACTCATTACTGACTGTCAGGAGATAAGATAATACTGAAGGAACTATGAGTTTGGAAGGTTGCCAGTGTGTGGAAAAGGTATCAGTGAATAGTTTTTACTATTACTTAGACATCTCCTCAGAGAACTAATAAAAAGTTGTAAATAAAAATAAAAAGTCAATAAGAATTTATAGAGCAATAGATCATGAATCCTGAAGATCTGGGCATATCTGGATATAAGTAAATGCTTATCATTACCTATGGTAGAAACTGGTCAGACTTCCAGTAGGACATATTCAACCTGACCATTCATTCACATACAAGTCTCAGGGAGGTGGTGAGTAACTATGATACTCTAGGTATGATGACCCCTCCCAAGAAAGAGTTCCTTATTTATTCAAAGCAACTTATGTTTCTCTGTAAAGCCTCAGATTAACTTTTCTGATTCCCAGAAAATATATAATCTCCGCATTTTGAGGCTTATCAACTCCGAAGAGCTAATAAGTTTCCTGTAGGAACAAGACTACCCTTAAGTTGAGTTCAAGATTTCCCCTCCAAACTCCTGAACTCCTTTAAAGCAGATTCCAGATGGAAATGGATATTCTGACAAAACTGTTAAATGGCCAAGGCTCAGGTCACTTAGAAGTTATTTCAATGATTCACCAATATGCATACATCTATGGGAAAACAGCAAATAACTGAGAACCAAATTGTGCAAGACAGTTTTAGATAGTTATTTCACCCCAACACATCTTTCTTTGGTTGAAAAAGATTCTTTAAAAATTCCAAGTGTAACATTTACTTGTCAAGTTCAGTGTTTTAAATACACAAAATAGAAGTTTCAAATGAAAATCTGGTCATCCAAGATCAGGCCTCATCTTTTGGAAAAACTACAATTGAATTAGGAATATAGATGCTGTCAGGTGAAATTGAGTGAGCTCAAGATGATGGAAAATGTAATTTCAGGCATGGAGTTAGGTGCCAGAAAAAGGTGGTAAATATATGCACAGTGGAAGGTCTGTATATATTAGCCTAATGATATGAATCCCAGAAGGATGATTGATAAACCACTAGCTGGGTTAGAGTACTTGCCACTTGAATGCAGAAAAAGTCCCCCGCACCTGACCAACCCCAATGTGATTTTTAAATGTTAAGATTTTTGAATTAAAACTGAGAGGGGTCCTTTCATCAATAAACTCTCTATTTTGCCAGAGAATGCAAAAAATTTGCCAGCTTAAAATATTTATGCTAAATAAGTTATGCTACTTATTTTAAAATTCCTACGATTAGCAACTATTCCTAAGTGCTGTCACCTGTTGTAATGACATGTGATACTTTGGGAGGTTCTGATATTAAAAGGTCCATTCAAGTTGCTTTCAAATATGAAGAAGAGAAAAAGTAACTTACTAACTTGCATAAACAGACAAACAAAGTGCATTGATTCAAAGAACAATCTAGGAAATGTCCAGAATATAAAATAGATAAATGGTTTATATTGGAAATAGTATCATATAGTGGAATTCTTCAAATTTTTTTTCCAATTGCAATTTTTAAAATTTTAAGAGAAAAACATTTACGGGTAACGTTAAAATGGCATATTTGACTGAAGTGACTGAAGTTGAATATAGCAAGGTCCTATTATTCATAAGGGGTTTGATTATGAAAAAGTCTAAATGTAAAAATAAGAAAACATTTAAGTAAGATATTTGAAATGCAAGAAAATCAACTCTGATTCATACCTAATATTGAATGATTGAATAATGAAATAATTTATATAATAATATAAATTAAAGGCAAACTATGAATTTAAATAATTAATATATCGTAGAAAATACAAAAATAGAAAATACTAGAATTGGAAAGAGAAATTAAAAGGCTCACCTTTCCTAAGTATTCCGATTCTGAAGACTGCAGTCTTTCTTCTGCGGGGTCTGGACCTTGAGATAGGCTGGGGCTGAAGGCCATGAGGTCGGTCTTGGGCGGGCCCTCCCCAGAGCACACCCTCTGCCGCCTCGGCCGCGAAGACGACCAGCTCCCCGCCGCGCTGGAGCACACCAGCGGGGGCTTGCCCGGCCCGCACGCGCCCTCGGGGGGCGGCGCCGAGCACCGCAGCGCCGTGTACAGCAGCAGCGTCAGCACCAGCAGGCTGGACACCGCGCAGATGGCCACGATCAGGTACACGTTGACGTCCACCAGCGCGGACCCGGGGCCCGCGGAGCCCGCCAGCGCCCGCGACGCGGCCTGGGGCGCCTGGCCGCCGTCCACCAGCGA